TGGACTTTTGTGTGGTCATGGTCACCTTTCGTTGTAAAGAAGTTGTTTAAACTTGTTTTTACAACGTCGTTGTATTGCCAGGATGACCTAGAGGAACGCATCCTATTCTGAGTCCATAATATGGATGATACTTTCCAGAGTCGGACCATGAACTTGGTACATTCCCAGATGCTTCGCCGGCTCGTGTTTGGCATCACCCATGAGCCTTGCCAGTCTTAGCAACGCGTCAAAGAGACAAGTGAAGTCGATTTTTTGACTAATCGTCCGCTGAATAGTCATGGTATTTCTTTTTCTATAGTGGTGCATTCGCCTAACATGTATCATCATATTACCATTCCACTATCACAATTTCTTGTTTATCTAAACCTAGTTTAGGTGTGCCCTTTTGAGCGGATTTGGGGATCCATATTAGCACTGCCCGCTGGTTCGCGCATCCCGCCCATTGTGCTGGGAGAGCTGATCCAAGACTGTATTTTAATCCGCAATCCTCTTCCTTCAGGTACTAGCAGAGTCTCCCTCTTTCTCCGTGGGACCTGTCAGCTATCTGCCTGGTCCAGTGAGTGACTTCATTTGCCTCTTTGACGAATTCTGGTGGAGTGCTGAGAATGCCAAGGCTCACTGACGATGTCGAAAGCGATGGCAGCGAAATGTCTGGCAAGGAACTAAGTCAATGGTCCGACACTGGAAATTATAATGCATACTATGAACTCCGGAAAAGTTGTGTTCATCTAGGTCTTCCTGCCAATATGACCAAATTGTGAAAACAAGGTCTAGCGACTTTGCATTACGTTATGTTTTTGGGAGTAATAGCCAATCTGCCAAAGATTATTTAGCGAAAGAGCTTGAATTTTGAATTTCATCCGGACTTCACTTCAATTCATCACATCGCTATCAGTCCATTGCATAAAATGATAACCCCCTCTTGCAGTTAGGCTCAATCTGATGTTACTCACAGAAGGCTAGGTAGTGTATTAAGTCAAACGATAAAAACACATTTTTCCTGAGAAGGTTATCGAATTTCACATGGCTATACTTCCCAAAAGTTGATCTTATCCAGGATGGACTGCAGTTTCGACCTCGCATAGTTCTTATCGACGCCCTAAGTCACGAAAACCTACTTATTTAGGCAAGAAGAATAAGGTCGATTGCTATAGCAAGGATAAGTTTGCCTCACCGACAATTCCAACACAGAATGTTATATTTAAAATGCCTGACATTCTGTGAAATTCACATCTGCCCTGTGATCCAAGGGCAAATTTGGCAATGTGGAGTAGTGGTTATCGTGTCGACCTCAAACACTGAACTGTCGCGTTTCGACTCCCGCTTGTGGTGTTGATAAGACCAATGCGTGGTCGAAAGTGCATTTCATTTGGGGAAGCAAGTCTATGTGAAATTCAAGGGAAAAGTCAGTTCTACTCATATCATTGTGGGAAATATCGACTACCAGTCCTTTATCACCTTAAATGAAATAGGGTGAACACAACTCACAAAAACACATTTATCTAATAACACACAATTTCCTTTGAACCTCCAGTTGGCAAGTAAATTTATTATGAACTGAGTGGCTGGCAGTCTATTATCAAAGACATTATCGTCTGGTGTCAGTGAAGCCAACTTCTCCTACCGCCAGTTGGATGGAAAGCTCATCAAACGCTGGGTTTTGGTGTTAACCCAAATCTGGATGGCGCCAATGTCAGAAGGAAGGGGAAGATATCAGATAAGCGCTATCGCATGCCTCTACAACACGGGCCTTAAAACGCGACAACTCGAATACATGCCTCAAAGTCCCGGTCGCCTCCCTATCCATTCTGACTAAGGGATAATTGGCAACGGCTTCTGGTTGGATATGTCATATCGCCCTGATGTTTGGCTCGGGGTTGTCCGAGAAGATCAGAAAGTGTCCGTCTGGAGCTGCTTCACGGGAGCCCCGTTCTGCCGGCGTCGCGTGACAACGCTTTGCCGCTGAGTGGATTGACGAACCGCCAGTCACGCACCAGCCTTCCGGCCCTGTAGACTGCATCTCCTTTTTCACCCCGACGCCCTAATTCATAGCCCCGTTCATCCGGTTTGCTATGGCGGCCCAAGTCACTGTCGCCAGAACCTCGGTTATCTCATCCTCTCGGACACTTGGCCCCTGTGGGGCCAGCGTCAGTCGCCGCCGTCTCACTTCGCCTCTCCAGTCATTCTCAATGTTGCCCAACTCGCCTGGCCAGTTCACATGTACGCGAATCGGTCTGCAGTGTTCACACGTAAATATACGCACACACACAGACGAGTGCTCTTGTCACTATCACGACTGCGGGAGTGGGCGGGTCGCATGTAGAAAGAGGCTCTTATCGCTTTGTCCTAATGCTGGTCTGGCTGTGGCCACGAGACCAGGTTTCCTGAGGCCCAGGCTTGGGTGTGTTTGGCTCGTGGGGAGGTGGCCTCTCCGACCGAGGAGGGAGGAGCAGCTGAAGTCACTTTGCTGTCCAAAACCCACGTCAGGGGAAGCAAACACAGTCGTGACCGGTTGGTTGGACTGAAAGAACATGTAATTGTTTGCATATCAACATTTTGTTCTTCGGCCATAAGGCAGATCTTTGTATGTGGGCACATACAGACACATATGGGGGAACAGACACACGAACACGACGGCTGGGACAGACATCATTAACTTCTAAGCACAGGCACATACATACACATACACACATTCGCATACATAGGCTGAGGTAGACGAGCATGTATGGGGAAGAAGATGACGACGAGCTTTTCACTTTGTATTTATGGGCAGAGTGGCAAGGCCTCAATTTCCCGCGTCTTCTGTAATACCAACAGGACACGGAAGCCTATTTTGGGTGAAGAAACAAAATGTTCGTCTAGACGAGGCAAAGACGAGGAAATTGTCTGAGCCCGAGTGAGAAGATTACTCACGCCAAGAGTGTCTTCGTTATTGTTGAGCTTACTTCCATTTCGAGTGAGAGTGTTGCGTGAAGAGATTCGAAGGTCGGTTCCACCAGAAG